CCGTTAATGTGATATGAGCTATCGATCTTTAGCCAAAAAACGTAAAGCTCTGGCCCCATGCAGTTCTTCAAAAGGTGACACTTTCCACTCGATAACTCTCTGTCCAGTGGATACCGCAAAAGTTTTCCCTAATACTTATCCGGAGGACAGCGCTATTCAACGTTTGAACAACTGGGGCTGGTCTTTCGATCTACAATGCTAAAAAAAAAAACAGATGAATCATTTGATCGTCTATTTACCACCTTATACTAGTACATGAGAAACTTCTGCAATTTGATTGGCTTTGAGCATTGGTATTTCACCTTAATTTAAAATACCTACATATGAAAGCTACAAAACCTTTGCGGGTAGTAGAATAAACAAATAATAGCATGATTTGTGCGTATGATATTTGGCTGAACGTGATATTTCAAAGTCGTCTCAAATTTACAATTTCGAAATACCACTCGTGGTATTTATGCCAAATATTACTACAAATCATGCTATTTTGTTAAACAGAAAAAAATGGAAGCGATGAAAAATGTTCGTGGTGCGCATGTTTTTGACTTGAAATTATTAAAGGAATTTTATTTGGTGTTTGGGATTTATAACAAAAATTCATTCGATTCGAGAATTACCTAGAGGTGAAGGGAAATATCATAAAAAAAACAATTTGACTTATTTTACTTGGTGTTCGACTCCTATGCATTAACACTGATCAAATGACATCCTCTCCCGAAATGAGAAAGTGATTTATTCTGTTGATTCATTCTCCTTGGTCTCGTTGAGGGAAAATGTTGATGAGAGAGTTACGTTAGTCACTTATGGCATTTGCTACGATATATGTTTGTAGATGAGTTGCAAATGTTGTAAGTGTTCTTGTTGATTAATCCTATATAGTAAGTTATTTTGCTACTCACAGTTTTGGCTTATAAGTTTAAACGATGATCGATAGAAAATTTCTTCTGACATGAATTCAGTGTGAGTCAAGTGTCCCATTTTAGTACGTCTCTACAGTAATACAAATATGTTTAGTTTAAGTTCCCCAAAAGGAACAAAGCCTTATTTACACTATAAGAATCACACAATTTGAGATGGTCCTCAACTTCACCTGTTATCAGTCTTTTCCAGGAAAAGACTTTTTAACCTGTACAAATTTTCACTGTTTTGCTATATTGGGCCATCAAAATAAAATAAATAAAATAATGATAAAGGGCAGCGCTAGCTGAGGTATTTCAGGTTGCCCTGTTCTTCCAACTGATGCTCTTGATTTAGATTCTGCTGGCTGTCAGAGGGCTATGGTTGAAGTTGTCAAACTTAACGTTAGAGGTGTTCCTTACCAAACATCCCTTGCAACACTGGAACACTGGGCAAATACTCAAAGTCATTGCTGGCAGCCACCTCAAAATTAAAAAAAAGATGAAAATGGATTGTACTTCATTGTCAGACAGGGATGGAGAGCTGTTCAGGTATACTTACTGTTTTTTAAGACTTAAATATGGAAACATCTTGGAAAACTGTTCTGAGATGGTGGGAAGTTTCGTTATATGTATTAAATTATAATCAAACGCGGTTTTCAAAGCTCTGGATTAGTTTAAACCATTCTGGATCTCTTTTTCAGAGAACAGATAAATACAAATTAAACCTAAATTGCTAAAATGCTAAAATGGTTATGATCAGTTAATGTTTATCATATTGTGTCTCTGTTCAAAGGCCAATCAGTATTATAAGGACTTCAATGTGTGTTAACCGTCAGCCGTCAAACGGCCTAAAATCTAAACGTCAACCGTCAAAAAAGGTTTTATTTTACCGTCAACTGTCAAAACTGCATAATGTTTGTTTCAAAGTATCTCACATCTCACTACTCACCGGATCTTCACCGACTTCGGGCTCCTGGTGGAAAACTCAGTTAGTCCCACGCATTCTCTGGGCATTACAAGACGTTAAAACTCGCTTATATCCGAAATTTTTTCGAAATGTCAAAAACGACCGACCAAGAAAACCTAGTTCAAAAACACAAACGTTATATTAATATATACAGAAGTTAATATTTACTTTAACTCTCGGACTAAATTTCCTCTGAATAATCGTCAGCAGTCAAAATTGAAAAAAATTAACCGTCAATCGTCAAAAAGCTACCACCCCATTGTGGCCGTGATCAGCTTTAGCTTGGACTTGGCTACTTGGTGGAGAACAAATTGAATCAACTGGGCGCAAAAACGTCGGCAAGGGAGAATACGAAAGCAAAAATATGTTTCTTGAGAATTGTATACGGTACATATGCCGGCCGTAATTATAATCATGATGAAACTTGAAACGATACACAATCAATACAACAGGTGGATTTTAAGTCATTGCTTCAAAAATCAGTGTCAAAAAAAGTGAATGGTTACTCTGCACAATGAGAGTAATGTAACAATGAGCTTGTACTGTATATTGAATTGGTTGCCGCTAGACTATAAAACTTTCGGTGTCAACTTAACTGAGACTAACATTTGCAAAGGGAGAAAGTAATAATAAACCCATACTATTTGTTATTTATGCAACTCTCTTCTCGTCTGTTTCCCCGCTAAGGAGCTTCTCAGCCTTAGCATTTCGTTTGTTTTCTGGTAGGTATATACTCAATTATCTTCGAAATGAGAAGTTAATCTGCTCCGATGAGATACTGGTCTCACTGCGAGAACAACTAGTCGCTGAAGCCAGATTTTATCATCTAGAAGGATTAATCAGCCAGTTATGCCCACAGCCAAAAGTGTTCAAGGAGTCGTCAATTATCACCAGCTTTGAAAACGAAAATACTCTGCTGTCGTGGATGTCAGATGAACCAAGTGATGCCAAATGGGGTATTCTGTACAAGGCAACTAGAGATGGGTTTAAGCCAGCTAACTTTCATAAGAGATGTGATGGAAAGTCGCCAACCCTTGTTGTGATCAAAAGCGGTGAGAATATCTTTGGTGGGTATGCAGGCAAACCGTGGTCCTCGCGTGAGTAAATGATATGAATCTCTGTAGCTATTTCCAGGGAAACTGAAGTCGCAACGATATAAAAGTACCCCACATTCGACACATTAAGCGTTCTTATTTTTGTTATTACTGCGCTTTTCACAAACATGCGAATTCTGAAGTTCAAAAGCCAACAGACGATTTCGTTTTTCGCTGCCGTCAATCATCTTAACGGACCTCACAGGAAACAAAACTTTACTTTAACGGGTTCAAAATGTCATGGTTTGTGATTGGTGAATTTCGATCGGTTTTGTGTGTTTCTGTGTTTCAAGGTTCGTTGCTTGTGATCGTAATTATGATTGACGGCAGTGAAAAACGCAATTGTGAAGGCGGCTTTTGAACTTTAGAGTTCGCATGTTTGTGAAAAGCGCTGTAAAACCTTTTTGTTTGATGTTTATTCGTTTTTGGTTTTTATTTTAGTGTTACCAAGCAAAACAATTCGTTAAATTGGCCGATTTTGTCGGAAAAAAAAAAACACCTATAACATGAAAAACGCGCAGAAAAAAACATAAAAAATAGAGGATTCGCTCACTCGTGAGAGATACTTTCAGCACTTGAAGATAAAATTCGTATCCCCAAGCGGCCATGTAATGTTCTGTTTATTTTATAGATACTAATGAAATTCCCACATAAAACACACCTTTTTTTATTCATTTTTGAAACAGCAAAATAGTGCAATTAAAGTGGTCACCTATCGCAAAGTGCCAGTCACAAAAATGTTATGAAACTCGGATATAAAGTTATAGAGGAGAAATAAAGACAATAATACTTATATTTTGTGTTCCAAAACGTCAAAATTCTAATGAAGAAGAGAAAAATCATGTTAGTAACAATGGCGACACCAATATCCTCACATGTGAAAGATAAAAATAGTATCTTCACTGCGCGGGATGACGATATATTTTTTTAGTAAAAGGAAAAATCCTGGTATTTCATCAGTATCTATATAGTAAAGACAGTTCCTAGGTGCCCATGGATAGGTTTAATGATTGTTACTTCATGCATTCTCCTTTATTTTTTACTTGTACATGACATCTCTCTTCCCACGAAAGATTCTCTTGTATTTCCTGTATTGTTTGTTCTTGATATTGTTGTTGTTGTTGTTTTTCATTCCAATTAAAAGATCGGAATAAAAACACTGTTGCACCAAATTAACGTTTGTGCAGCACTCTTTTTAAATATTATTTTACTTTATTTATTTATTTATTTATTTATTTATTTATTTTTTGTTTTTAGCTGAAGGGCATGTCTTTGACGACCAGGCAAGTGAAAAATCATTTCTTTTTAGTCTGAAAAATCCAAGTGGATATCCTCCCGAGAAAATACTCCCTTTCCCGGATCCCTATAGTGAAGATGCCTGTGTGAAAGGAGCAGTTAAAAGCAGAGCTGATTTTGGACCGACTTTTGGCGAATATGGAAACATCATTGATCTTTCAACGTTGACGGGAAAAACAAATCGCGTGGGTTTTGCAAAAATAAGACAAGGCTTTCGAACAAAGTATACCGAAGAACAAGATTACTTCAACGGATATGAGTTATACGTCGTGGATGAATTAGAAGTATTTGGACTTACCAAATAACATGGAATTTCGCAAAATTGTTGTAAACAGGGTTTTAAGTCTACAGTATAGTATCTTATTAGCTGACAAAGGAAATAAACAAGTAAAAAGTTTAA